GCGGGTCCACACTGTATGGCCCGCACACTCTCCAGGCATATATCCAACAGTATGTCTATTTGGCTAACAATATGGCCAAACAAACTCGTGTAGCGCCGGGACCTGTGTTTCCAAACCTTCTTAAAAAAGAGATAACAGTTAAACCGGGAGTTATTGTGGACTCACCAAAGATTGGACACAAATTCGGTTTGATTTTCATAATTTAGACAATTATCACAAGTTTTACACAAATGATTGCTGATTACAGGGGATGTGTTGAGGAATCCGAATAACACATACCATACGGGAAGTGAAGTGAATGCAACCTTTGTTGGCGCCAACCCTCGCAATAATCCCAAACTGGACTCAACATACCTGACCGTTGAGAGACAAAACGGTAACACAACGGCATGGGATGTGATCGCCACCGATGCCAACTGGGAGACCAAGTATGACTAACCATTATACTACCGGTGCTCTAGAAATGAAATAATTTCAATGAATTCTTTACAGATTTCATTGGAGAAGAACTAACACTTTGTTAGGTAATAGTGAAGTGGATGTCATTTGGGATATTCCGGCCAATACTCCGAGTGGTAACTATAGGATCAGATACTTTGGTGACCACAAGAATATATTGGGAAAAATTACACCATTCAATGCCACCACAAACACTTTCCAAGTGCTCTGAACATCTGATTTTAGATAATTTTTAAATGGATACTATATTAATAATCTAATTTAAAATTTGATCAATTAATATCATTTTATTAATATCCTATAACATAATAATGTAAGTACAGTAATATTTTTTAGAAATTTCCATTTCAAATAAATTCAAACTAATTCTCAATTAAAATGTTCAAAACTTTATTGTAGAAATATTATAAAAGAAATAAAAACTTTTCAAACATTAAACAATTTGCAGATTTATATGAGATTTATAATAAAATATTATATAATAATTCAATATAACGTAAAATATAGGAAACATATCATAAAAACTATACGACTATTACGGGTAATACTATTAATAAAGTTTTCAGATGTGAAGAAAATTGACTTTCAAATTGTGGGGCACTTCTCGACCCAATTGTTTGAAGTCTTTTATAATGCAACTGTTGAACAGACACCCAAACCACTTGTTTGGCCTCTGGATCGCCAACTTTACGAACGCCACAATGGATTCAGTGGTGATGCCTTCACAGTGCGAGACATCGATGTGTTTGAGTTGAGCGCAGTCTTTGACCACTTTTATCAGCAACTGATCCGACAGTTCCGGTTCACTGGACAGCTTCAAATGTGTCAGGCGTTGCATCCGACCTATAGGTGCCAAACAGACCGTTAGGTCGTCGGTGTAAAAGCGGACGGAAGTTAACTCCAGTTTCTTAAGCGCCGGCAAAAACTTAGCGATCCCTTCGACACAGTCGATGGTCAGCGCCGTCGACTCGATACGAACGGTACGCATGTGGGGACAGGCCTTCAGGAACCGGATGTCGTAGAAACCAACGATAGGGACGTCGCCATATATAATTAGGTGTAGTTTCTCTAACCGCTCCAGACATGAGATATCGCTGAAGTATTGGTAGACATGCATCGGAGTGATGTCTGGTGTGAATGTGGAACAGTAGAGACTCCGGAGGGCCGGGAAGTGGTCCGCAATACCGCCCATCCATTTCAGATCAATTAAATCAAACAGTTTTAAGTCTCGCAATTGATTGGCGCGTTTAGCGCCCAAACACTGTATGCCTGCCTCGTCGAACAGATACCCGGGTGTTTGGATCACTTTAATACCAGTGTTCATGTGCCTGAACACCAGTCCCCGGTAGGTCTCGACGTCTATATGGCGTTCACTGTTCGACAACAGACCCATCAGAATAAAGACCTCAAGTTGTGGTAAATTCTTGAGCAGTGTTTCGATGGTCTTCTCTTTGATCAACACATAGAATGACTCGAATTGAAAGCACCGGAGGTTTGGGTAGCTCTGTGTCAACGCCTGTATCTCGGCTTCAGTGACCGTAACCAACAAACGTTTATAAATGATTGACAATTGTCTCAAATCTCGGTCACAACTGGCGATCACTGATTGCAATAAATTAGCCGTTATTTTCCATCT